CCCTGGCCAGTTGTGGTGGACATTAGGGGCTGGAAAGACTGTTCTGAGCACCACCAGCCTGAGCTGCTGCTTGGGCTCTGGACTCCGGCAGACCTACTTGAACACCACAGACAGCTCAACCTTGGCATGGCAAAGGGCAGCTCATGATTCTTGCCATAAACCTGCATCTTCCCATCTCTGTCCTTGGTACTCAGGTCGAAGACACTGGGTCATCCAGACTCAGGTCACGTCACTGTGACAGTCATTGGGTGTCGGAGACCATGCGGCTAACACAAGCAGAACATAAAGAGCTATCTCTCATGTTTAAGCAAGGCTCGGCTGAGAAAAAGCTGTACGCAGGGCAACAGCTAGAGCTCAAGGTTCCAACTGTGTTTGCAGTACTGGTTTGCGTTTTCAATCTCCCTGCCATGGGCTTTACTGTCATCACGGTACCCCATAAGGGTGAAATAACATCCCCAGTCTTACTGTAACTTTTATAATTAATAGTTCTAAGAGAATGCAGATCCCTAAGGCGGAGGTGAACGGGAATTAGACTTAGACTCACCCCATCTGCCTGGAAAGTAACAATGAACAATGCTGAAGTCCCTCTCAGGCTCATATGTACATAATAACCTTTCAGTTAGTCACTAAGCTGCTCACAAGACCACATTACTTACCCATGTGAGCAATAGGCTCACCCTCATAGCTGTAAATTATCCCAGAAACAATATAGGTGTTCCATTTTAGTATATATTAACCATGTCTTTACTTAATCAAATAAGATTTCTATCTAGGCCTTTGTAACCGCAATCTGCTGCCGCCCCGACCTGGGGCTGAAGTTACCAAGCCCGCTGAAAACCTCCTCATTCAAAAGGCCCTACCCGGCAATCATGATTCAAGAAGAAAATGCCCTGAGGACTGTGACTGCAACTGCTCAAACAAGAACAGCACGCCATGTTTATGATTACTGTTCCCATGTTTTGAATACCCTATTCTCTAGAGTAAAATCTTTTATTTCCCCTCACCCCTCCTACTCCTGTAAACATCCCCAATAAATATGTATGATTCTTGGCCATAGAGGCTGCAGTCCTGAGCTCTGACTGCAGTCGGCTGAGAACATGCTAAAGAGCATCCAGGTCTCAGTCTGATTTCCCCTCACCCGCGTCGCCTCCGTCAAGTCAGCCCACCCTGGCTGGAGCAGGTCTCCGGCAGTTGGGGTCAGCTACTCACAGGATCCAGGACCCAGTCCCTTCTGATTGCCTCCTGGGTGGCCAGCTCAGAGTGGCCCTGCCCCTGCCCCCACCCATCCTCCACATTGATGCTGCTCTGCTCAACCCCCAGCGGCTCCACCTCAAGGCTTGCCCACCTGCACCCCTCCCTCCAGCCCCTCCCCAGCCATGCCTCTGTGTGCAGCTCTGCCAGCAGAGTAAAGTGCATTCATGTCCTTTTCCTCCCCTCCTTGCCTCCTTCACGTCTGTGCTCAGATGCCTCCTCCCTGAGGCCTGCTATCCCCCCACAGCAACCGCCCACTTTCCTGCCCTGAGTCCTCTTCCCTTGGAGAAAGTCGGGTGTGTGCTGTGTGACACACCACTCGTACTCCAGCCTAGCCCACTGGGGTGTGAACTGCACAGGACCGCAGCTGCTGTTCCCAACGTGAATGCTGAACAGCCGAGAAGATGTCAGTGTGAGTCGGGCCTCGCAGGCGGAGCAGGAAGAAAGGCGTTTCGAGAACCATGGCTTGTTTGAAGATGGTGTGCAAGAGTTCTTTCTGGAAGCTGTGTGGTCACGGGAACAGGGAGTGCTTTCCAAGTGACCTGGCTTCAGGAACTTGAGTGTGTGCCGTGACCTTTGACTCAAGCATCCCATCTGTTATTTTTTAGCAGAGAACTACTTTTGGAAGGCACAAAAATAGTGAAATCCAATTAACATTCTTTTCTAAAAATTATTTTATTTATTTATTTATTTATTTATTTATTTATTTATTTATTTATTTTTCTACATGAGTTTTGCCAGAGAAAGACAGAGACAGAGAACGAGAGAGACAGAAAAAACAAGCCACCAAGTATGAGATTCAAACTGCGGTCAGCCATGTGGGAATTCCAACACCTTAACCACCATGGCACCTGCTGGCCCTAATATTCTTTTATACAGGAATGCAGAAGGGTTGAGTGGCCAGACCAATTCCCATTCATTCCATTTGTTGCTTAAAACACAGTCAGGGGGACCAGCAGTTAGCGTAATGGCTATGTTGCTAGACTCCCATATAGTCCGCCGTGGTTCGAGTCCCGGACCTGGTGGCTTAAACTCACGCCAGGTGCATGTGGATGCATGCCCAAGATCCCGAGAGGAGAATGGAGGAGAAGGGATTGTGGCATGGCCATCTCCCCTGGGGGTGATTTCTCGCTTTCTGTCTCTCTGTCTCTGTCTGTCTGGTGAGTGCACGCGCCCTATAGCAAAAACCTCTCCAAAAAAAAACCCACACAGGAAGGAAGTTTGAGAGGTTTCTCGAGCAATTCCAAGTGCTTCCAAGTGCAGGTGCCGCTCGTGAGAATTATTTCTAATCCTTGGCTGGCTGAAAAACTAAGATGACGGAGCACTCCGAGGTTTGGAGCGTGTTGACTTCACTTTACGTGAGTGTTCGCAGCTGAGACCTGGCTTCTCAGAAGTCTTGGTTGGAGCCTTTCACAGTGTGCACAAAGACCGTTGCTGGGACTGTCAGAGTGCCAGTGTTTCCCAGCAAAACACAGCCATGCGCTTTCTCTCTGCTCACTGAGCAGAAATAAAGGCGCAGCGGGCCTGCGCCTGCCGGTCTAAGGGGCTGCCCGCTGGGTGCACCGATGGCTGAATTCCGAGCAGTTAGAGGGCGACCCCCGCTAAGCGAGTGCGTGGAATGTATGCGGTCCCGGGAAGGAGGCTCCATAGTGTGGTCATGGGGACAGAGAGAGGTGCTTGAGAGGGAGCACAGCGAGGCGTTGGAGTGAGAAGTTGCTGCTGCAGAGCAGGGTCTGCCAGGGTCTGCACTTGGCGGGATTCTGTTCTTAGGGACGTCCTTTCTGTTGCGGTTCCCACCCTGGCACGGAGGGGAGCTGTGAGTGACACTGAGGAGGCCCCTTCCTCTCCGTGTTTGCTGAGAGGGCTCTGAGCCGGCAGTTACACAACTACCGTGGAAGGCCTCTGGGCTCTGCAGGCTCCGTCTCATTGCAATTCAGGGAGCGCCTGTCCCCTGGCTGAGGGCGGGCCTGCCGCTCTTTCTTCATTGTGCCTACTTCTGGCTGGACGGTCCTCTCTCAGACACCAGCGCTCCAGGGGCTGGGGCCACCGTGGAGGTAAGCATTCGGATGGGACCGAGGGAGACGTCCCTGTTGCAATCTACCATCCGGCTGCTGCCTTGAGCAGTTACTGACACGTACTGGGTCTCCAAGTGTCCCGGGACCCGTGGGTAATCCCGGTGGAAGCCGAAACGCGGCAGACCTGCATCCCTAGAGCCCAGGCTGCCCTGAATGCAAACTTCTCGGGTTTGTTCTGCAGGAAAAGTGATTTTATTCACTTTTAGAACTCAATGCCTGTTTTCTTCTTTAAATTCGCAGTATTTCAGTATGAACAATATTTCTTTGTTTAGAAGTATTTCTTGGACTAGCTGGTAGCGTGGTAGTTAAGGCCATCTGCGCGATTCAAGTCCAGGACCTGGTGATTCAGAAATACACTGGGTGTGCCTGCGTGCCCGAAGTTCTGACAGGAGGGACAGAGGGGAGAGGGACTGCAAGTGACCCTGCCCACAGGAGGTGCCTTCTGCCCCCCTAGCGAGTGCACACACCTGCTGGCATTTTTCTTTAAAGTAGTCCTTAAAAAACTTAGATTAATTCCAGTCTTTTCAGCGTGTTGAGGTGAAAATAATTTGATCACAAATAAACCTGCAGAGGCACCTGACAGGCTGTGGCACCGTCGCTGAGGCCATGACACGGGATGAGCAGTTCCACGGGGAGCTGGGCTATGACCGGATGCCCACTCTGGAGCGGGGACGGCAGGACCCAGGCAGCTTCAGCCCGGACGCGAAGCCCAGCGACCTCCAGCTGTCGAAAAGGTTGCCACCCTGCTTCAGTTACAGGACCTGGCTCTTCTCCATGCTGGTCGGGGTGAGAGCTGGCTGAGTGCCTGGGGGGGCGGGCCAGTGTACCCACCTCCCTCTGGTGACATTCTGGGTGTCTTCCCTGGGTGGGATGGGAAGGAACAGCACTGATGAGCCTGTGGTCGGAAGGTCGGAAGCTGACGGGTCACTGTGTCTCTGTCCGCTGCCTCCGTTCTCACCGCGGGCACCTGCTGGGCCAGCCTGCAGTGGCCCCAGGCTGTGCCGTGTCCCTCCCTGTCACAGAGTCCATGGTCGTGCATCTTGCGGTGGTCTGGCCCACTCCCAGGGCTGCTCTGGTAGAGCACGCAGCAGGGGTGCTTATGAGGCCACAGCCCAGGCCCATCCCAGGGGTAGGGGTGGGGTGGTGCCAGTCCTTTGAGGGACATTCCTGGGGGCCCTGATGTTTCTGTGCAGATTAGCGCACTCAGAGTGGAAGGAGTGCTTTGGCCCGAGTGTAACAGCCATCAGGGACACCTCTCTGAGACAAGACTGGGGTTCTGTGTGGCCCTGGGCCCTGCTGGCCACCCCGCAGCACTCTAGCGGCCCTGCTCATCCCGCACAGCTGTGAGCCCCCGCCAAGATCCTCCCTGGCCTGGGGCTGTGTGAGCACCTCGCCCTTGCCCCTCCTGGGGCAGTGGCGGGTGGCCACGCGCCTCCTCGCCTGTGTTCTCAGTGCTCTGGGCTGTGACCCCAGGACTGTACTGTCCCCGCTCACCTAGGCCTGTGTGGTCCCCTCTGCCCAAGCCCTCGCCCTCTGCAGTGTCTCCTCACGTCAGGGTAAAGCTCGGCGGGCCCTGCCTCTTCCAGGAGCCCCGGGCTTGCCACCCCATACTCAAGTGGTCATCTTCCAGATGTGAGATTCCATCAGCTTCTGCCAAGACAGTGGGTAGCCCCGTGCCTGGGGTGGGGACCTTGTGGCCCCTGAAGTTGCGCCTGTGGGGGTGAGGTGTTTTCCGGGGAGAGGCGCCGCTCCTTGGCTTTTCTGACAGTGCTCGCTCTGCGCTCCCTAGCCCAACGGCAGCGTGAGGGTCTACTCTGGAAGTAGGTAGGGCCGTGTCCATCCTACGGGGAGGTGTCCAGGTCAGGGGGGGTCCAGGTGCAGGCCCAGTTGCTGCCAGGGCTGCTGGTTAGTCACTGACGCACAGAAGCGGTGGGGTCGTGATCAGAGTTGGCTGGGCGTCTAACCCGGGTTCACACTCTTGCAGAGCTGCCTGCTGGTGACCTCGGGGTTCTCACTCTACCTGGGGAACGTGTTCCCATCTGAGATGGATTACCTTCGCTGTGCCGCGGGCTCCGTAAGTGACCTTGTCCCCGGGTGTCCCTACCTCGCTCACCGTCGTGTGCTCACCTCCCCTCACTCTGAGATTCCCAGAGTTCTGACCCTTGCACCTCACTCGGAATCTCTTTATATTGCGTGACATTAGTTCAGATTTGCAACTTTTAAAAATCATAGATGAAGCAGGTCTGAATCTGCTTTGATTTCTTTTTTTTAAAAAACAATCATTTCTTTATTTTATTTTTTTAAGTTGACCAGAGAAAGACAATGAGCGAGAAGGAAAGTGAGAAAGCAAGCTGCCATGTCCGGGATTCGAACTGTGGTCAGCCATGTGGGAGTCCAGCTTCTTTAACCACCACACCACCTGCCAGCCCCTGAATCTGCTTTGATTTTTAACCCGCACACTCTGCCTGCAGGTTTAGGAGCTGCGGCCCAACCCTGTCCCCAGCCTTGGTGCCTGGTTTCTGGAATCTTGCTGGGGGTGGTGTGTCCCCTGGTCCTCACAGGAAGGGTGGGGACACACCCACCGACCCCCCCAATCCCTGAGGGCCCACACCTTCTACCTTCCGGACCCGGGTCTCTCGTATGTCAGACGGAGCCGGTCATGGGGTCTCTGCATGCCTGCCCTGTGGGCCTCCGAGGTCCCTGACCTCCCCGCCACCGGCACTGCCGACCCCACACACCTCTCCCTGTGGCTGATAACCAGCAGCACAGGCAAAAGGCCCTCAGAACTGGGCATGATTGTGACTGTCCCCAAATGTCTCAAAACCAGAAGGGGCTAGAGCACCCCTAACCCCAGACCTCCTCCCTCACTGGACCCCGGACTCTCCTCCTCACCAGTGGGGAATCTTGTCAGGGTCCTGGGACCCCCACGCCCTCTCAGGGGTCAGACTTCGGTGGCTGTCTCTGCAAGATGGCCAGGGTGCCCCTTCCTCACAGGTGACAGGTCTCGCGGCCCCTTCCCCTCAGTCTGCCGTGTCCCCACCGCCCTTCTCCCCGGCTCTGTGGGTTCTTGGCCACTCTGGCCCTGCATGGGCCCTAAGCTAAGCATAAGCTGCCCCTCAGCCTCTCGGCCACCACCACCCCACACTGTCATATGTCCTGTGGTCCCTTTGCCCATGGGGGTGACACCGTGCAGCCACCAGGCCTGGGCTGGTTCACTTCACTCACCTCCCGTTCCCTAGACACCCTCGGCCTTCCCTTGTCCTCTCCCCTGGCCCTTGGCTCCTGGCCTTGGGGTCACAGTGGGCTTGGCATGAGGGGAGCTCTGGAATGCCAGAACACACAGGGACCCCCACACATCCTTCCTGACAGACCTCGCTCCTTTTGGGGAGCTCCTCGGGGGTGACCACCCTGGCCTCCTGCAGTAGGCAGCTGCACCTGGCTTCTGAGCATGTCCAGAGACAGCTGTTCTCGTCGCCACGGGGCTCTTCCAGCTTATCAGAAACTCCAGCTGTTTTCAGAGTAGTTTACGACGAAGGCCCTGGAGACCTTTCCAAGCCCAGCCCCACGTGCTGCAGACTGGCCACGCTTGTCCTGTGACTAGGCTCGGTCACTGGGAAGCACCAGCCATTCTGCACCGTGGCCACTGAGCCGCCTGCTCAGCCAGGCTCTGCTTCCCTTTCAGTGTATCCCCTCGGCCATCGTGAGCTTCACTGTTTCGAGGAGAAACGTCAATGCGGTGAGTCCAGCCGTCTGTCCAGCCTCTGCAGATCTGGAAGTGGCCCCCAGGGAGCCAGATAGGTGTTCAGGAGGTGGGAGGCCGCCAGCTCCTGGGGCTGGCAGAGACCTGAGCACTGGGCACCCGCCAGCTCTTCGGTGTCACAACCTGCAGGGTTTAGTCCCGACATGGTCAGTGATGCCGCACTTTTACTTACCGGATATTCAGAGGAGGGCCCTCGCTTGTCTTCCAGATCCCCAGCTTCCAGGTGCTGTTTGTCTCCAGCTTTGCCGTGACCACCACGTGCTTGATCTGGTTTGGCTGCAAACTGGTCCTGAACCCGTCAGCAGTAAACGTGAGTGCCTGGAAGGGACCCGGGTCTTCTCTGGATGCCGTCAGCGTCATCCATGGCACTGCCCAGAGAAGGGCTTGCCTGGGCTCGGAGCCCACATGTCGAGAGCTGTGTCCGTGCCACCAAGGACCCCGATGGGTGTCGGCGGGCCTGTGGACGGGCAGTGTTTGCAGTCCTCACCCACGCAGCACTCCAGCAGGCCTGGGATGCTGTGCCTCTGAGAGACGTAGAAAATCGTCGTCATGCACACTGTGATGGCCAGAGAGGAAGAGCTCAGAAACGAGGGCCTGAGAGATGCCTCAGAAGGGCCTTCCCGAGTGAGACGTTGGATGTGCTTTTTTTTTTTCCGAGAGGTTTTTGTTATAGGGCACGTGTGCTCGTCAGACAGACAGAGAGAGAGACAGAGAGACAGAAAGCGAGAAATCACCCCCAGGGGGGATGGCCACGCCGCAATCCCATCTTCTCTCCCTTAAACACACACCCGGTGTGAGTTTAAGCCACCGGGTCTGGGACTCGAACTGCGGTCGACTACATGGGAATCCAGTGACAGCCATTACACCAACTGCTGGTCCCTGGATGTGCTTTTGAAGATTGGGACAAGTGCGAGTGACCCTGGAGGAAGTCTTAGCCTGTCTTGTAAGGCAGGGAACGCGCGGTCACGTGAGGTCTGGAAGGAACCGTCGGGCCGCTGTGGCGTGAGCGATGCTTCCTGGAGGCCAGAGCACGTTGGAAGGCCGCTGGTCCGAAAATCAATGGAAAACACTAATTATTTGTGCCAACAGCAAAAGAAAAGGAAAATGTGAGTTACACATAGATGGCATTGTATAGAATTAAAACTATGAAGTTCCAGAATGTATCCAAGAAAAGATCTGAAATACTTAGTTGGTAGAAAATTATGATTCTTTTTAAAAAAAAATGTTGCCAGACACAGAGAGGGAAAGTGAGAGAGCGCCCCCTGGGGGCTGACTGCGCCAGTCTCTCTTCCTCCGCTCTCTGGAGATGTTGGGCATACATGCACACGTGCCCAGTATGCTCAAGCCACCAGGTCCAGGACTTGAACCACACAGTTGGCCATGTGGGATCCAGTGTCCTTAACTACCATGCCACCATCTGTGTGACAGTTCTTTATGAGAGACCTCCTAAATAAACAGGGAACTGGCCCGATCTCAGAGAGGGAGCCCCTTGGGCTTGTCCAGAGTAGATGCCTCTGGAGCCAGAATCCCTGCAGGTCAGCGTTTGGATCCAGGCTGGGAATAGGGGCCCCCTTTGAAGGACAGGGTGGGGATACACCCCGCACTCAAGAGTGACTCAAAAATCGTCCTAACAATGGGGACCAGCAGTTAGCGTAATGGCTATGTCGCTGGACGCCCACGTAGTCGACCGCAGTTCACATCCCAGACCCGGTGGCTTAAAAACTCGCGCCGGGCACGTGTTCGTGCGTGCCCAAGATCCCAAGAAGAGAATGGAGGAGAAGGGATTGCGGCATGGCCACCCCCCCGGGGGGTGATTTCTCGCTTTCTGTCTCTGTCTGTCTCTGTCTGTCTGGCGAGCGCACGCGCCCTAAAGCAAAAACCTTTCCAAAAAAAAAAAAAGTCGTCCTAACAAGTAGGGTGTCTAATCAGGCAGAGGAGCTGTCCCTGGGTCGGGTTGGCCACACGCAGCCACAGGTGTGAGGTCCTGTGACCCAGAACACGTTAAGTGCCAGGTCACCTGAGTCAGACCCCGCAATGCACCTGCCACGGGAATCCTGCACTAAACAGCGGAGGTCCTGGTGGGAGAGCCCCATCTTGCCCCCTCAGACCCAGGAACCACACCGTGTGGCCAAGCAGAGGGTCCCCCAGGGTGACAGAAAGGCCCTAGGGAATGCAAGGGGGCCTGCAGCTTCATAGGGGCAGCACGCCGAGGAGGGAGCGTGTCCCAGTGGGGGTGGGATGTGCTCAGCCATGAGCAGTCCCTGCCTGCCCCAGCACCGGGGCGACTCTGGGCTCCATTCAGGCCCTTTGGGAACCACCTGGGATCCACAGGCATGACCTGGAGCCTCACGAGCACGGCGCCACCTGGGACGCAGTTCTGGGAAATGCTCGTGCCTGAGCGGGACGCAGGCACTCCGGGCATGGCCACACTGCTGACACAGCCGAGATCCAGAGACGAGCATGTCTCACCCAGCGCCGCGGCCAAGAGACACGACAGACCGTGAACTGTGATGGTGCCCATCCACACCCGCTGCCCGCCACCGAGAGCTCGCCCACAGCGGCACCAGCCTCACCTGCCCGCCCCGGGCCGGGCGCATCACTCCTGCAGGGAGCCAGAGTCGCTGGCCGTCGCCACACTGTGACCCCACTGTCACTGCACTGCAGCTGCCGGGAACCCTGGGGAAGGGCTTCGGGGATGTCAGCAGGGTGGGAGCCCTTGGGTAAGGACACGTTAGAGGCCAGCTGGTGGTGTGTTGGTGGCAGCGCTCCACCCACATGGCTGCCTGGGTGCTTCAAGTCCTGAGCCCTCAGCCTGAGAAACACATGGGCGTGTACATGTGCATGCGTGCTCAAAATCCTGAGAGAGAATGGAGACGAGATTGTGGTGTGGCCATCCTGCTGAGGGTGATTTCTCACTTCTCTCTCTCTCTCTGGCAAGCACATACATCATATGGCAAAGCTAAAAAGAAAACAAAGTGCATGACAGACTAGAAAACCTCACAGGAAGAACACCTGGGAACATGGCCGTCTGCACCCCAACCCCGCAGTGCTGTGTCCCTGCCACTGCCAGCTGTCCCTAACACTTTGGGATGGCCCCTGGAGTGCTGGAAGTCTCTGGGGTGCATCGGGGGGCCCCCTTACTGCGGCGATGCGTTCCGAGACACCTGGTGGGTGCCTGGGCAGTGCCGAGCCTTTCCTGCACGGCCATATCTGGGGTGAAGCCTGACTCGAGGCTGAGGCACAGGAGCGACCCGTGAAGACCACCCCCAGTAAAGGGCCGTGCTCACCTGGTGCCCACACAGCAGTGTGGATGAAATGTGGGCAGTGTGGTGGCTCTGGGAGGCCACTCCGCTGTGAGACCTGCTGGGCTCCTCTGGCGACTGGCGGGCCTCCTTCCTGGAGCTCGCTCCCCTCCCATACCACAAGGCCCGCCAGTGCTGGCCGAGTGAAAGGGGCCTCTCTTCCCTGGCTCTGCTTTTGAGAGCAAGACCATTCTGGCCTCATAAGTCACCAGGCAGCTCTTCCTGCCCGTTATACCGACTCGGTGTGGGGAGGCCGGCCGTCCCTCCCTGTTATACCGACTCGGTGTGGGGAGGCCGACCATTCCTCCCGTGTTATACCGACTCGGTGTGGGGAGGCTGGCTGTCCCTGTTATACCGACTCAGTGTGGGGAGGCCAGCTGTGGGGAGGCTGGCCGTCCCTCCCTGGAGGCTCTGCTGGGTCTCTCACCACTGCAGTTTCTACGCCTTGCGGTGCCAGGTCTCGCCCCATCCCGTAGTGCAGGCCTGTCAGTGGTCTGTAACGCCCGCCATCTGGAACCCAGCATCGGCAGGGTCTCAGTCTCATGCTAAATCTTTATCTCTGCCTTGACCATGAGCTGCCTCTCCAGCCTTTCAGAGAGCCAGCTTCTGTTCTGTGAGCCGCCTGTGGTTCCCGTCCCCTGGTGACGTTTCTGCTGCTTCGTCCTTCTCAGGCCTCAGTGTGGCTTCAGAAGCTGAAAGCTCAGCACCCCGTCAGCCCACTGTGTCTGGTGACCTGCTGGGCTCCTTTGTCCCTTGGCGCCGTTGGCTCTGTGTCCCAGGTCTTGCCATGTAGGTCTTTCCCTGCCACTTGCTTCTGGGCGTGCAAATTTCCCTCTGGCCCCTCCATGTCCACTTCCGCTTTCACTGTCTGCTGCCCTTCTGTGTGAGGAGCTGGCGTGGGGTCCCTCTCCCTACCCCCCCCTCCCG